TATCAGTGCGTGTGTGTGTGTGTGTGTGTGTGTGTGTGTGTGTGAGAGACATGACTCAGCATACCAGGTGCTCCATGGAACACCACTCCAATTTGGAAGCAAGATACTGTTTTTGCTATTGACATCAGGGTTGACTCCACAGGACCCGGAAGTAGTAACCACAGTGAGATGACATCTGAAGGGACTCCAGAGGTAGCGATCACCAGAAAGAAACATGGAGCAGAACAAAACGAAAGACATCAGCCTATTGCTGATATAACAAACCACCCTCCAAACTGTGGCTTGAAACAACAACCATTTTATTTGTTCATGATTATGGGGGTCAGTAATTTGGGCTGGGCTCAGCTGGGTGATTCTTCTAGTCACCCAAGGTCATTCTCGTGGCGGTAGCCAGCTGGCGGGTCTATAGGGGCCTGGTTGACGTAGGGAATGTCAGCTGGTTTGGCTTTCCTCTGTTCCACAGGCTTTATCACAAGTTGGCAGAAGAGTCCTCAGCAGCCAGAGAAGGCAAGTGCAGATGCATTAGCCCTTCTCAGGCCTCTGCTTATATTACACTTGCTAATGTCCCGGTGGCCAAGCCCAGAGCCGATGTGGGACAGGATTGCACAAGGGCTTAGATCCATGAAGCCATGATTCCTTGGGGGTCTTTCACTGTAAGAATCTTCCACGCTTTGCTTTTCTGAGACCTTTGTAAAAGGTGCAGAGATTCTCCAAGCTAAAATTTGCAGACAGCTGGAGCTTCTGCTGTAGAAGGTAGTGGTATCTTTATTACTCTCATTACTGTGATCCCATCTATACACACAGGCGAGTGGGCCTGGGGAAACTCAAATTATGGACCTTGGTCAAATCCCTTAATCTCTGAGCCTCAGTTTCCCATCTGTAAATCTCACCCCATAGGGTTATGGTAAGGATTGCGTGAGCTCATGGCCTTTCTGGAAAGTACAAAGCCATTGGTGGGTCTTCTATTAGCCACAAAAAACTTTAAGCTGGTGCCCAGGGAAATGTGCAGATACTCAATGAGAAAAGAGAGTTCTGAGAGACTGGGCTGTTTAACGAATTTTTTAAAAAATTCATAAGAAGACCTTTTGGTTCAAGAGACATTAAGTTGATCTCGGTCTCTGTGTCTCTCAAGATCGACAAGGAGAAAACTGCTTTTGTCTTTGTTTCACACATCTGCTTTCCTTTTGTGCTAATTCTAAATTGTTCCTCTATCTCAAATGCAAGCAACGTGTTCTCTCCTGCTCCGAATAGTGTTGCTCCAGCTCCCAAGACATCTCCTCCAGAAAGGGTTTGATGGATCGCACCCCAAGTTGATCCCTGCTCACCCATCCATCAAACATTACCACATCCTTTTTATGTGTCTGGCACAGTGCTAGGACCCAGCGACACAAAGATGAATGAGGCATAGTTTTTATCCCTGAGCTGCTCACAGACTAGCGATGAGATAGATGCATAAACAGGAAAGAGCACTATCATTGTGTGCTGTGAAAGAAAAACGTGCATTTTTTCAACAAACATGTAATGATCTCTTACACGGTGCATGCCTAATACCGGGGTGAAATGCAAAAAATGACTCAGATGCCTTTTCTATTTTTAAGGGGCATCTAGTGCAGGAGTCAGTCGAGTCAACAGTCACAATTCTGGAACATAGATGCAAGCACGAGGCTCACATGGGAGCCCCGAGCCTGGCACCTGCCAGATTGAAGCAGTCGGGGAAAGTTTCCCATAGAATTTCTATCAAACAAGAAAAAGCAGGGGGTGGATTCCAGGCAGACAGAGCAGCGTGCACAAAGGCAGAGTGGCTTGGGGGAAAGTGGCATTTTGGAGAAACCCAAAGCAACTCAGCATGCCTGATATGCAGAGTGAGCAGGGGGAAGGTGAGAGCAAAGTAGCAAAGTCTGGAGAGGTGGGCAGAGGCCAGACGCCAGGTACTGGGGCACCATTGATCATTTTAACCTGGCAAGTGGTCCGGTTGGATTTGCATTTTAGAAAGATCATTCTAGCAGAGGTGGCTAGATCGCCACATACAGGGGTAGTCTGGGGATAAGACAGTGACAATTAAGAGACTGTTTAAAATTCACTTCAAATGGGAAATTATGAGGGATTGAATTTAGGTAATGCTACTGAGGACAGAGAGAAAGGGGTAGACAGGAAGCCAAGAAGCAGTGTTATAGGCTGAATTGTGTTCTCCCCTGAAAAAATTCATGTGTTGACGTCCTAACCTCTGGTACCTCAAAATGTGACTATTTGGGGAGAAGGTCTTTAAAGACGTGATAAAGTTAAAGGTCATTAGGATGAGCTCGAATCCTATACGATTGTTGCACTTGTAAGATTAGGACACGGAGACTTACAGGAGGAAGACCACGTGAAGACCCAGGGAGAAGACAGCTCTCCATAAACCAAGGAGAGTGGCCTCAGAAGAAACCAATCCTGCTGATACAGTGTCTCAGTTTCCAGCCCCCAGAATTATGAGATAATAAATTTCTATTGTTTCAGCCACCCCATCTGTAGTACTTCACTATGGCAACCGGAGCAAATGAATACAGAGAGGAAGACTCGGGAGACCTGTGGGGGAGATGGATGTAGGGGCTGAGGGAAGAGAGGAGAGGGTGGCTTTCAGGTTTCTGACTTGGCCACCTGGCAGGTGATGCCGCTGCTTTCCAAGAGGTATAACTCAGGAGGAGCAGTGGGGTAGGAGATGGAAGATGGTGCATTCGAGCTTGGCCATGATGGGTTCCAGCTGGGACGTGTTCATGGTCCCTGTAGAACAATGAGTGGAGATGCCCACTAAGCACCTGGACGTGTGGGGCTGGAGCTCACACAGGAGCCGGGGGGGGATACAGACGATGGCATCTTCAGACACAGGGGCAGTTGAAGCAGAGGACAGCCGAGGGCCCCCCAGGAACACGTGTGCTCTGAGAAGAGGAGGCCGAGGCCAGAATCACAGAGAACCCTACCGCTTATAGGAGAAGTGCAGAAAGATGGCCTGGGCACAGGACAGAGCAATAGGCTTAGGCATTTCTCAGAGAAGAAAACGTCAAGAGAGGCTCTTGAATCCTGGAGAGATCAATGTCTCAAAGTCTCTGTCTCTCTCTCTCTCTTTCACACGCGCGCGCGCGCACACACACACACACACACACACACACACACCCCACGCATACAAATTTATGTTGTTCTACTGTCTTGCAATACTGGTCTGTTGCTTTGCAATGATTTTCCCATTATTTTATGTGCGTTGCTTTTCAGGTTTTAGAGTCAGAAGCGGAGCAATGTCTCTCTACTTCTCCAGAGGCAGCAGAATGCCTTCGGCTCTAGGCCCCTGCCTGCTAGTGCTTGCCCTCGTGGCTGGGGGGCTCCTCCAGCCATCCCCCAAACAGAAGCTGCCCCTTGGTCACTTTCTCTCTCCCGCAGCGGCATTTCAGTGGGCCCTCTTGCTTTTTCCGGCACGGCCTTCTTAGCGCATCCTGTAGTGATGATGGGTGACTGGAGGACACAGACGCAGTGGCCCTGCTCCAGGGTGTTTGAGGTGAGGCGGCTCTTTTTAAGGCTTTTTGAGGAGTCGGGCAGAAAACTTGTGCCTTCGGGGTGGGGTCAGTTGTATAGGAATTGTGGAAATCACTGCTCCCACTTGCCCCAGCCGCCCAGACCCGGGAAATGCCAGGTAGCTCAGGCACTTCCTAGGTCCCAGGTGTTCCCTTTACTTCCTCTGGGGAAAGGGAAGGCACGTGGACCCCCTCTCATGGACTCCTCACTCCAATCAAGATGCCTTGAAGAAAGGTAATTTGCCCAGAGTTGCATGATCAATTAAGAACTCAGGAGGTGGGGGCGCCTGGCGGTTTAGTCGGAAGAGCACAACTCCTGATCTCGGGGTCGTGAGTTCAAGCCCCACGTGGGGTGTAGAGATTACTAAAAATAAATAAGAACCCAGAATGTGGACCTGGCTCTGGGTGACTCTAAAGATCTCTCCCCCGCTAAACGACCGTCTCCCCCACCCCCACCTGGTTCTGCCTTCTGGTCCTGGCATCCTCCATGTTTGTTTCAGTAGCCCACCCACCAACATGGGAATCACGCTGCTGAAATCCTGGGGCGCTTTAACCCGAAATCAACAGTCAGGCAGGCTGGATGGATGTTTACCCTCCAGGGCCCTCCTCTGGGGTACGGAGGGTATGGACGAAGCAATAGGAGGAGAGCAAGAGAAAGAGATTTACGCCTGAAGAACTTCCTGCCTCCTTGGAAATCTGAGTGCTGGGTAAAATGTCAGAGATCAGTTTTTCCCACCCACTCACCCGACAGCACTGGCTTCTGGGGAATGCCAGTCAGTGTGTCTCAGGGGTGTGAAAGTCATGGTGGGGTGGGCAGGTGTCCCCCTTTCGCTGAGAAGAAGCCTGAAGAGGTCTGCCCACTGGGCTGGGCTGTCTCAGGGGCCCAGGGCCAGTTCCAGCCTCGGTGACAAACTCGGCACTCTTGTCATCTGGGCTCACAGCCCTCCTGCGGTCCCTCGGCATGGGGGGAGGGACCCCACCCCCGAGATACCACACCGGTGGTGACCAGCGTCTGTCTGAGCATCCACTGCCCCCAGCGGGAGGGACTCCAGCCTCCCCGCTTCCTGGCGCACGCCCTGACACCTTGAGCTGTTCCAGGCCTTTCTTATTTGGAGATTAAATCGCCATCCCTGCTGCTGCCTTCCAGAGTCAGGAGGAAAAGACGTGCGCTGCATCCAGACCCTGAAGCAAGCCCTTCCCCCCCCCCCCCCCCCCCCCCCCCCCCCCCCCCCCCCCCCCCCCCCACCGCCGGGCCGCTGTGGCCTCCCGCCCTCTGGCCTGGTCGAGGCCCCGAAAGGCAGCTCTGCTAGCCCGGCCTCCCCGGCTGGCTGGGAGCCTACAGCCTCAGTGCCTGCGGGGACTTCTGCCCGGCAGCCCTTCTTCCTCATACCTGAGCCGGCCGCCGCCGCCCCACTCCCGGCCCGAGCACCCTATTTAAGGCCGGCCGGCCGGCGGGCGCTGGCTGGAAGTCACGGCGCCGGGAGGGCGGCGGCAGCTCCGCGTCCCCCAGCACCCAACACGCCGCGGGAAGGGACCCTTCCCCTCGCCATGGCTTCCCTGGGCCAGATCATCTTCTGGAGGTAGTGTACCCTTCCCTAGCTTGGCCGGTGAAGGGAACAGGGGTGAGGGCTTTGGGGGGCGCCAAGCAGGGCGGCATGGAGCTGCGCGCTGGGAATGGAAGGCACCAGTGACTGATGATGAGTGGGATTGCAGGGGAGCCCCGCTATACGGTCCCCTGGGATGAAGCCGGTGAGCCCGCTCTGACCCTTCTCTAGGGGTGTGACTTCCCAGTACTGCTGCGGAACCCACACCAACACCCGCCCTCCACCCCCAGCTCCAGGAGGGGGTCCTTCGTTCTCCTGGGGGCTCCCTGGAGAGGAGACCCCTGCGGCTGCTGCCGAGAAAGCAGGGATTTGCTAAGCGCCCCCCGCCCCAGTCTGCTCACCCTGGGGGCTGGGGCGGAGCAGGGAAGGACACAGGAAGAAAGAGCTTGGGAGGCTCAAATGCAGAAGGCAAGTAGAGCTGACAGGACAGAGGGCCCAGGGCTGAGAGGAGGGGCGCCCATACATGAAGAAAGAAGAAAGCCCAGCCCTTACATTTTGCTCCTCTCACATAGCTGCCTCTAGTTAACCTCTTTTCCCCTCAGGACATCACTTCCCTTTCTGCAAAGAAAGAGATGGAAAGTGAAGGAAGGGTTTTCCCCCCGAGAGGGTTGGTGATTCGATGTCGGTCACAACTCATGATGGTGTTTAGGAAGACAGGAAGGCTGGTACCTGTCGGTTCTAGGGGTTGTTCGCGAGACCGATCCCCTTAATTTCTAGGTGTCATTTCCGCGGAGGGGAAAAGAAGGGCAAGAAGGAGGAAAAGAAAGCTCAGCTTAACAGTGAAGTTTGTCAAGCGGCTGAGGGAACGTTGCTTCCCAGGGGCAGCCTGGAAAATTCTCTCCCTTCAAACAAAATGACAGCTCCCTCCCTTGTGTCCATCTGGAATAACTAGTCCTGCAGCAGGGGTTAGGGGGTGGGGGGGCCCCTGTGTGGCCAGTAAGGGTGTTGGGCAGCACTCCCCTTCCGACAAGGACACTGCTCCCAGGAGAAGCAGCAGGTAGAGGGGGGTGTGCACGGGGGTTTCCTGCCCTGCAAGAACGCCCCAGGAAGCACCAACGTCAGAGGAACTGGTGTTTTGCCAGCACCTTCTATCTCCATGCCCTGGGCTAGGTGCCATACAGAAGTCTCCTTTAATCCTCGCCAGAGCCTGTGAGAGTTCATTACCACCTCAGAGAAGTTAAGTCCTGTGCTCAAGGCCACACAGCGTGCAGGGGGCAGGGCAGCGTTTAAATCCCCTCTACCTAACTCTGAAACCCAAGCTCTCTCCTCTGGGCCAGGCTTGCGCCCCCCCCCACCCCCCTCCCTGACCTGCCTGCCCCAGCTCCCCCCGCCCCCCCCCATTCCTCCATTCTGGTTCCATAGATGTGGAACACTCATGCAACAGAAGTGATTCTGTTGTCCCAAGGATGGATGTGTGGGCTTTCTAATAATACATTACAACCAGCCCGACTGGTTTGGTGGGAGGATTAGCAGGAAGTGGGTGTTCAAAATGCATATTCCCCCACCCTTTAGAGACCAAATGGAATCCACAGAGGCTCCTCTCCTTGGCCCCAGCATGCCTCATTTGCTATTCATGCTCTGCAGTTGCAAAAGCAGTGACAAGGCACAGAACAGCAGAGCTTTTCTGACAAAGAGACCACCGGGAAGAGGGTCAATGGGCGGGCTGGGTGGGAAGCAGGGTCTGGAGAATCCATCCCAGGGAACCATGGGAGCCCACCTGGGGGAACCCTGTGTCCACTCTTGGCCCTAACAAACCCTCTTTCTTTGCCATAATTGTCTTAATTCATAATAATTCCTTTTATTGAGGCGATCATGACCGTTGGTGATGTGGGAGAGCTTATGAGAGGGCCTGCCCATCCTCCGCAGGTCTGGTTGGTGGTGGATTACTTTCTTAAATAATTACCAGAGAGCTTAATACCTTCGAATCTCATGCTCAAAGATGCATGCCACTCAGGGATGGAATACCGATGTGCGGTTTCTACTGTGTCTGACCTCCTTGGGATATTTAAGTACTGTGTGATCAGGATTTTCCTCCCCTCCTCCCATTATAGCTGTCAACAGGAGCAGCATTTGCCCATGGAACATTTGTTGAGTACCTACTAGGAGTCCAAGGGCAGAAAAGTCATGACCCCTGCTCAACGAGGTTACGTTCTGGTCAACAACATTAACTGAGTACCTATTATATGCTGGGCATTGGACTAGGCACTGGGGCAAAAGCAGCTAAGACACTGATGAGATTATAGCCTAATGAGGGAGAAGGACTCCCAAACAGATCATTCCAACCTGCTCTTCATAGGTCAAGAGATAATAAGAGCAGGAGGCAACAACAACACTTCCCTAACTTAAGGCTTTGGGGAAGGTTTCCTGAGCCAGGCGATGGCTGGATGGCTGGGTTAGGTCTTGAAGGATGAGTTAGTGTGATCCAGGTGAAGAGGGGTGGGAAGGACAGCCTATGCAGAGGAAAGAATAGAAGAGAACTCATAAACCAGCATGGGGTGTTGGAAAGCTACACGCTACTCTCCTATCATCATCGGAGTATGAAGCATGAGGGAGGGAGCGGGATGGGGCAGGAGAAGCAGAGCCAGGTCCTGCTAGGACTTACCTACCAGGCTCTAAGTTAGGAATTTGTTGTTGTGACGAGGAGCCAATGAAGGCTCTCAAGCAGGGGAAGCTTGGTGGTTTCCATCTTAGGTGGGTTACTCCTGAGGTAGCATGGAGGATGGCTATGAGGGCATTGAGCCTGGAGGCCAGGAGAAACAGTAGGGTAACAGTTGCGCTCAGACGTATAAGGAATAATGAGGACCTGAAGTAGAGAATGATGGCGGGGATCTAGAGGGGAAAATCAGTTCCAGAAACGTTTAGAACTGAAAATCGGTAATATATGATAAATCAGTAGAAGGGGAGGGAGGGTGGTGCAGGGTAGGAGTAGATGAGGCAAAGGAAGGAGCCTAGAATGCCCCATGTTTCTGCATTGGACAGAGTGAATAGGGAAGAGTGAGGAGAGATGGGAGTTAGTTAACCCTGGTACATGATGCGTTTGAGGTTCCCCTGGGACTTCCAGTCGGAGATGCTCAACAGGCAGTGGAAGGCATGAGGCTGAAACCGGGAGAAGTCAGGCCTGGAGACAGCAATTGAGAGTCATTGACTCATAGGCAGGGAATGATCACTTGGGATGTCTTCTAAGGAAAGCACATAGAGAGGGGCGAGGAGGCAGGGATGGGAAGCCAAAGAAAACCACCTTTCAAGGGTGGGCAGAGGAAGATGAGTCAAAGAAAGATCTGGGAGTACATGGTGGAAGAGGTAGGAAGAGAGCAGGATAGACAAGTCTCAGGGATGTCAACAGAGCAAAGTTTCAGAGAGGTCCCAGGGCTGGAAGGGGTGTCATTCAGAGGCTCAGTAAGGTCTGGTGCTGATAGAGAGATCCACTCCAGATAAAAATATGGCCTATGCAGCCTTTCAGCTGGCATTGTCCAGAAAATGAAGAGAACATACTGCCAAGGAGACCCTGCACCCAAATGAGGCCAAGAAGGGACAGGGATGGCTCTGAGTCCAGCCTGAAGAAGGGCTCATGGGTGCACAGTCAGCAGAGAACACCAGATAGCTGTAACATCTGGTAGCTCTCCTTCCTGGAAACAGAGACACAACTATAGCAGAAATGAGGCCCAGCTCACACAGATTTCACATTTTTATTCTGCTTTCCCTCCCTTCATCCCCGTCTCCCCCGCTTCCTTCTTTCCTTCCTTCCTTTTCTCTGGATCCTTCATCTATTCTTATTCTGACTCTTCTATCTGAAGTGAGTTCTTTGGAGCATTTGAGACTGGGGGAAATCACCAGCTACAGTGGGATTAATGAAGATATGTCAAGGGAAGGAAATTACTGGGTGGAGAAAGAACAGGCATCTTTTTACCAGAAGAAGGTACACGACACACAAAATGAGGGAGGCTAGAACAAGAGCAGCTCAAGGAGCTTTGCTCTGCAGTCTTGGCTTCCCATTGTCGCATGTTTTCAAAGCTGGTGGCTGGCTCAAACATACCGGACATTAATGGCCAGAGAAGACAGTGCTTGGCAACACAATGCAAGTTTGCCTGATGAGAAAAATCACGAAAGGGCTGTCGTGGAGAGGATCTCAGCACAGGTCATGATGATGCTTGAAACCCCACTGAGGTATGAGATGGGCCCAACTTTCAGACTCTCTGAGCCTACAAAATCTAAGGCTTCAGGGCCCATCCCCCATGAACAGGGCAGGAAGTTAGAAAATGAGATAAAACTGCACATTAGAAGAAAGACTTAAACAGGTGGCACCTGTGTTCCTGCCCCTATCAGAAGTACATCATCTTCTGAGCCTGGCACTTTTTCCCCATTTCCACCTCTTACAATGCCACTCCTCTCTTTGAACATTCAGCTCAAATGGTGTTTCCGCTTTGAAGTCTTCCTGGATCTTTCTGGTTGCAATCAATTGCTCCTTTTATGTTCGTGGTTGGCCATGTTGATGGATTTCTGTTCCTGGCGTCCATCTGTTTCCCTCTGTAGAGTTAGCCCCCTGAGGGTCTGGCCTCTGTCTTGTTCACTGTTGTATGAAGGCCGTGTAGCACCATGTCTACATATCTGGGCTCTCGGATCAGACTGTCTGGATTCAAATCCTCCTGCCACCTTGAACACGTATCCCACTGGAATTAGTCTAATTAGCCTCTGTGAGCCTCAATTTCCCTATCTGTAAGATGGGGTGACAGTAGTACCCAACTCCTAGGGTTATGTGAATGACATGTGATGATTATATGTCTGGCATACCCTGAGAACTCTATAAATGTTAGCTATTGCTAGAGTCATTACTTGCAATTCTACAATGCCCAGTACATGACTAGTTCTCTGTAAGAACTTATTAACCTCAACTCCATGACCCCACTGACCCTCCTGTCCCTTGAATAGATGTTCTCGTGAGACTCTACTTTGGATAAATTGCCAGTGGGGTCTCCTAA